ATAGCCGCTGCCCAATTATGAGGGGGTGGGGCTGCCATGCCCAAGAGGGAGAGGAACGGCCCGCCAGGCCAAGGGGGTGAGGTCACCATTTAGAGGAACTAGGGGACTGGAGCCACCCAGTGGGGGAGACCTGTACAGATACCACCCATTGAAGATCTGTATCGGTGCCAAGTTGACAAGGGGTGGAATTGTGGTGGTTATGTCTTTGTGTCAACTTATCTGGGCCTGGTTGAGTGGCTGGGCAGCTGGTGGTAATTATTCCCCATGATGAGACTGGCAATCAGCTCCATGATGGGATCTACCACAAGAAGCTGAGTAGCTGCCTTTGGGATGTGGTCTGCTTCCTGTATATATGGAGAAACCTTGGGAATGGTCTCTAGCCTATGGCACACTTGGACCCTGCATGTAGCCATGTCGTTGCTCAGCAGCCTGCTATGCTCTGCCAACCTTGGGACTTACAATGGACTTAAGCTAATGGCCTGCCGTGTGGTTTGGTAACATCAGGACTGTGCCTTTTTCCTTGTCAACCTTGGGGCTTCTTCAGCCTCAGCAGCCAACAGCTGTCTGAGTGAAGAAATGCCTCTAGCTCCAGTGGGCCGGGAGCAGGAGGCAGAGCTGGACCCCACGGTTGAGGGGCTTTCACCCAGCCCCTAGAGCCTGGCTTTTTGAAGTTGGACTTAAAGCCTTCTAATTGTGAAAGAATAAACTCTTGTTTGTTAAGGCCATCCTGTGTGTGGTATATTCTTATCAGAGTGGCAGTACGTAACCAGAACAAGGAGCAAAGATGTCAGTCACTTTGAAAACAAAGGTGTGCCTAACCCAAGCCATGGTATTTTCAATCACCTCATATGCATGTGAGAGCTGGACAATGAGTACGTAGACTGAAGAAGAATTGATGCTTTTGAGTTGTGGTGCTGGTGAAGGATACTGAAGGTACCATGGATGGCCAGAAGAACTAGCAAATCTGTCCAGGAAGAAGTGCAGCCGGAATGCTCCTTGGAAGCAATAATGGCCAGACTCGCCTACGTTGGTCATATTGTCAGAAGGGACCATTTCCTGGAGAAGGATGTCATGCTTGGTAAAGTGGAGGGTCAGTGAAAAAGGGGAAGGCCCTCAACAAGATGGACTGACACGGTGGCTGCAGCGATGGGCTCAAGTATAGCAAGGACTGTGAGGCTGGCACAGGACTGGGCAGTGTTTAGTTCTGTTGTACACGGGGTCGCTAGGGGTCGGAGCCAGCTCGACGGCACCTAACAACCACAGCGATAATCTGCTGCCACGTCTTTCTCCCATGGAGGGAGCGTTGGGTTTGAATTGCCAACCTTTGGGTTAGCAGCTGAGTGCTTAATTACTGTGGCATGAGGGCTCCTTCCAGATTACACTAGAGGATTTTAATAAGCACCTTGATGTGGTGACCCCCTGGGTGAAGGCGGGGCCTGGGGTTGACTGACTGCTAAGCTCACCCCATTTTCTGTGACTACAGGGGCGCCACCTGGAGTGGAAGCCACAGGTCCCCCCTTCTGCACTGAATGGTGCCCGGCAAAGTGCCTCCTTCCCCAGCACCTGCCCTCTGGGCCCTCTGGCTATGCTGTGTCCCCTGCAGGCCCCACCCTGCCAGGGCCTCCTTTGGAAACAGCACACCTTCAGGGAGTGACCAGAACAACCAGGATCAGTGTCTACTCTGAAGTGACAAGAAGACCCAGCTGGAGGTGACAGGAGGGAAGGACCCGGGGGTGCAGCTGGGCAGGGGTAGCCCATTGCAGTACCAGGTGGAAGGCCCCTGAAGGCTGGCTGTGGAGGGCAGCAGAGTGAGCCAAGGATGGGAAAGGCCCCGCAGCTTCACTTCTTGCACACAAGACCAGCCTTGACTGCGAGTGACCCATCCCCAACCCTGCATGGTCCTGGTGCACTGACCCGAAGTGAGGTGCCTCCTGGTCATGGGGAGCATGGTCAGGGGTCTGCCACTGTTATGGGCATTAGCCCCCTCTGCTTGGCTGGCCTCTGGGTGGCAGTGACAGTGTCTTGGTCCAGCCACTGCCAGCAGCTGACTTGACAAAGTACCAGAGTGAAGCGGGTCACTCATTCTCCAGGACGAGAACCTGTGTAGAACCATGAACTTTCAGGCCCTGTCATCACTCTTCACAATGCTTGCTGCTCACGGCTATCAAGTCAGCTCCTGACTCATGGCGATACCGTACACCATGGGAAGGAATGCTGCTCGGTCCTCCACGGTCCCCGCAGTCAGCCTGGGATCAGACCACTGTGACCCACAGCGTCTCACCAACTGACTTGCAGGAGTCGATCTTTGGGCTGTTCTTTCTGGTCCTTCTGGAAGGTCCACTGAAGCCTGTTCAGGATCTAGCAGCACACAAGCCTCTACTGACAGATGAGTGGAGGCCCACGTGAGGTGCGTTGGCTGGGAATCGAACCCAGGGCTCTCAAGAATCCTGCCACTGACCCACCACCGTCCCCTCTCAATGCTTAGCCATTGCCCAGTCCAGTTTCCCAGCTGACAGCAGAGCCTGCATCCATCGACCTCCCAGGACGGCCTCCAGGACACCAGGGCTTCAGGCCTCGTTCAGCGCGTTCCAAGTTCCCAGCGGCCTTCCTCTTGACCTCATTAAAGAGCACATCCTGCTGGCTCTGGTGACCATGCTGTAGGCAGGGTAGGGCCCCAAAGCAGCCTCAAGGGGGCATGGCTGGCAGAGACAGGCCAGCCCCCAGCTAGGGCTGGTGCACATGCCCAGTTGTGCAGCCCGCGGGGGTGGGGGGGGCACAGCTGCTGGGCTGGAGGGCAGGCGGTGGAAGAGGCTGCTGAGTGTCGCGTGCCTCTGGAGATGGTCCCCTGGAGCCCACCTCCACCATGTTCTCTGTGCTCTTGTACCTGAAGTCACCCTGGGATGGCCCTGCATCACCTTCTCACAAATTCCCATGACAACCCACGGGCTGCAGTGCCTCCTTCTCAACCCCTCACCTGCCCCTTTCTCAGTCTGCTCCCCAAGTTCAGCCTCCTGAGGATGGGACAGGGCCTTCCTTGCCTGATGTTTCTTATACACAAAGATCGACACTTGGCCTGGGGCCACAGGCATTCCCCTGAGACTCTTACAGGTGTCCTTCCAAACCCACCAGGGTCTGGGACCCCTTCGTGACTTGCTTCTCTGGGAGCCTTCAGGGGTGTCCCCAGAGTCCTAGATGTCACAGTGATGGTGGCCTTCTTTGCTGGGCTCCTGCGATCCGAGAAACGGTGTTCTTCAATTCTGAGACGTTTTCTTCTATCATTTCTTTGACTATTTCTTCTCCTTTGCCTTTCTGGAACTCCTGTTAATTGGAACTTGCACCTTTTGGAATGGTTCCCTAATCTTCTTACCTCTTATCTCCTACTTTCTTGCCTTCATCTTTTTCTACTTCCTGGAGGATTCTCTCAACTTCATCTTCCTTCTGACCCATTTACGTTTTTGGTCCCGCCGTCGTATTTTTAAGGCCCTCTGGTGGCGTAGTGAATAAGCCATTGGGCTGCTGACCAAGTCAGCGGTTCCCCCACCAGCTGCTCCACGGAAGGAAGATGGAGTGGTCGACTTCTGTAAAGATTTACAACCTTGGAAACCAACAGGGGCCGCTGTGAGTCGGAGTTGACTCAACGGCAGTGAGTTTGGTTTCTCGGTTTTCTCGCTTCTGACTTCCTGGAAGCCTTCATCCTTCTCCCCGTGTTCCCTGCTCCCTGTCTCTGGACAGGGTCTTCTTTGCCTCTTGCAGAAGGTATACGCGTTTGTTTCTGGGGTCCTGTCTGCTTTCCATGTTGCCTGTCTTCTCTGGGCCCTTGCTTGCTGGTTTCTTTGTGTCTGCAACCCATGCTCTTGGCTTCTCTGAAGTGTCAGCTGACGTTGGGCTCTCTGCTCACCTTTAAGGTGATGGGCGTGGAGCTTGTCACCCAGTGGCCTGCACCCTTGGGCAGGTGGGTGAGGTACTGCTTGGCCGCCTCCCTGGGGGTGCCCCAGTCTCAGAGTCTGGAGAGTTTCTTGGTGTTTTCCCCGAAAGGGAGTTCGCCAGTCTCCAACCTGGAGGGTCTGGGTCTGGGGGACTGGAGCTGGTCCAGCTCGTTGGAGGATGGGGGCAAGCGCTACTTCCCTGGCTTGGCCAGTGGCAGATCATTGCCGGTGCCCAGGAAGACCAACAATGGGGCAGCCCCAGACCTGGTACGGAGTAGCTGCCCAGTCAGTGTGGATCGACAGGGGAGGCAGGAAGGGGCCCTTGGCGGTGGCCCTGGGGAGCCCAGACGCAACCCAAACTTGCACACTGCATTGGAGGATTCGAACCTTTAAGAACAAGGTACCCCCACCTCCCTGGTGTCCTTAGGGCCCCCGCCCCCAGAAGCTTACCTGAGGGCTCCCAGATAGGAGCTCACCAATGTCCCAAGTATGTTTCTGGAATGTTCAGTCCTCATATGAGGCCTGGCCACTTACCAGCTCTACTTCCTCTCTGAGTCTAGGTCCCCTCATCTTTTAAATGGGATTGCGAGCCCGGTGAGCCCCTGAGACTACTTCTTGCCCCATGATTTTCATGTGTTCCCTCGGGGCAGACCTGCTGAGTAAGCTATCCCACACTCAAGGGGACTTGGGTGGGCTGGGGTGAGGGGCGCAGGGGCTGCTGACAGGTGCCCCCACCCTGAGTATGGACCCCGTCAGGCGAGTCATTCCCTCCTGCAGTGCAGCAGTGGGGCTCGGGGTCAGAGAGCAGCTGAGAGGCTCTGTGCACAGTGGGAGCCCAGGAACAGCGCAGGCCTGTGGGAAACAGTCTGGGAAGCGGGTTGGGGTCACTCAAGCCAGGTCCCCTCTTCACCCATGCTCTACACCCCACAGGGTCCGTGTCTCCACCCTTCTGGACCTCCAACCAGTGTTGCTGAGGGTCCTGGCAGCCCTGCAGGTGTGGCCCGGCAGGAGCCCTCCATGGTGGAGCCAATGACCTTGTAACCTTGTGACCTCGTAGGCCCGCCGGCCAGGAAGATGGCCTACTATGGAAAATGCATCAAGATGGTGATTGAGCAGCTCAGCAAGTTCCGACCTGAGAAGGACAGTCCCGAGCAGTTCCTGGAGGCTGTGTCCCTCGACCTGCAGGTAGGATGGGAGACGCCCTGGCCGGCAGCCGAGCCATGACACCTGCCGGCTCACTCAACCAAAGAGCCAAACTCACTGCTATCGAGCTGCTCCCGACTCATAGCGACCCCCTTTGGGTTTCCGAGGTGGTAAATCTTTACGGAAGTGGATTGCCTCATCTTCCTTCTGTGGAGTGGCTGGTGGCTTTGAACCACCAACCTTCTAGTTAGCAGTCAAATGCCTTAGGCACTACGCCACCAGGGTTCCCTAGCCCCTCACTATAGACTCTCAAATCCATTCCCCATAGCGCTTCTTCCTTCTAAAGAGGGAGTGACCAGCCCTTGGGACCTAGAACCTCAGCGCTGGACATCTTGATTCCATTCTGTCACAATTAGCCACAGTGTCCTCCCCGGACACCCCAGGAGCATGACCTCCTTTGTCCCCGGAGGTATTCCCAGAACCCAGTGTGAACAGGCACCCTGGCTTGTGACTCAGAGACATGTCTCCATGTTGTGCTGTCCTCAGTTACAAATAGATGAGAATCCCACCCCACAGGGCACCTCTGTCCCCATCCCATACCCACTGCCATCTTAGGAGAAGTCCTGGACAGCAGTGCCCCTCAGGAATCGTGGCCTTCACCCCAAGGGCCATGCAAAGCCCGAGCAGCCAGGATGGCCACAGCCGTGCCTGCTGTGGTGTGCCGTGGCTTCTGTCTGGGCCTCAGGGACCACTGGCCGGGCCTCCGAGGCTCTTGCCTGCTCTCACCTGGGTCCTTAGTCTGCTCTGAGAAACATGAGCCTGGAAGAAAGCCCCTTGCCCTGGAGGTGGCGGCAGTGGTGAGGTCACAGACCTGTGTCAGCCAGCCCAGGGCTGTGCTCCGCAGCTGGTGGTAGGAGGAACTCAGCTCTGGGACGAGCAGGTCTTAGAACAAGGACCCAGGGCCCTCCACTTACACGAGCTGCTGCTTCCCAGCCGCGTCTCAGCCCGCCCCGAGCTCAGGTGGGAGCCGGGAGCCTCCCTGGGCTCCTCCTGGTCTCTCCCTGACACCTGTCACCGCCTCTGCCTTCAGCTCTGTCGCCCGTCCCCCAGTACCACTGTGGCTGGCACAGCTCTGTCTGGGTTCATGGTGAGGCCTCCGGACCGGTCTCCCTGTTAGGTGCTTCCCCTCCGCGGTGCCTTCTAGACTGCACTAGAACGCACTAGAATGTACTAGAACGTACTAGAATGTACTAGAACGTACTAGAACATACTAGAGCGTGGGACAGGTGGTGCCAGGTCACTTCAGAACCCCGTGCTCCCTCGTGGCTCCTCCCCTCACCCCCACGTCCACTCTGCACTGATGCCACTGGCCTGGGGCTTCTGCTCTCCTGGCCTGTCCAGCTGTTCAGTCCGCACACGGCCTGAGGTCAGAGGGTGCCTTCCCCAAGCAAAACCTGTAAAGTTAATGTTTCTGTTTCTAGAGGAACAGTGTAACTGACACCCCGGGGTACTGCACCGATTGAAACTGCCTCGTGGATGCACCAGCAAGGGGCTCGCTAGCACCCCCACTGCCAGCTCTGTTAGGGGGAAGCAGGAGAAGGGCTACCACATGGCTTCCGGCCGCGGAGACGCGCTTCACCTTGTTTCTGACTTTAGTCTTGGCGTCACTGCTTTAGTCCCTGGGTTACAGCCGTCCTCGATGTATCAATGAGGTGACTCACAGGTGCTGTGTTATGGTCAGTTCACATCCAGGCCTGCCGCCCTCGCGGCACCCCTGGCCTAGTTCTGCCATAACCCTGTATCCCAGCAGACGAGCTCAGTTCTGGGAACTGGGAGGAGGTGGCTGGTGGTGGTGACAAGCTGGCTGGCTTCTGGACTCTGGTTCCCAGCACCTAGCCCTTCCCCTGTGCTACCTGTGAGACCTGGCTCAGCCGCTCTCCCCAGGGCTGGCCAGGATGGCACACACCCAGGGCCCCTTGGCCTTGCAGCCACCTCCCCCCACACACATCCAGTCACTGGGCTGGCCCAAGCCCTTCTCGGAAGATGTGGGCCTCCCCCTACCTGTCTGGTGAGCAAGCAGGTGGTCTGGAGGGGCCCAGCGTCAGGTGAGCCTGGTCTGGGACCCCCTTGGGCCTCAGTCTCCCATCTACAGACGGGTGGGTGCCGCTTTCCTGAGAGGCTGCTAGCACAGCCCTAGAGCTGCCCTCCCCCTGTGCTGAGGTCTGGCTACGGGCCCAGCCTACGCGTGGACCAGGGTCTCAGTTACCTACCTGCGTCCCACTGGGCCCCGCACACCCTCCAGGACCACCCGGGCTCCAGGCTGCACCCTTACCCTCAATGCATGTGCACAGTTCCCAAACCCAGACAAGACACAAGAGAACTGGAGGAGACCAGGGCAGGGGATGGGGGTGGCAGGGGGCGGTGCCCACAGGCCTTCCGCACCCAGCCAGCTGCTGACTCAGGGCCCCCTGCAATGCCAGCCACACTGACTCGCTGCTTTCTGGCCTGCTGCCCTGAACCCTGGGCTGCTTCAGACAAAACTGAAAAAGCTAGAGGAAACGGGGCTGGGGCTGACACCCTCCAGGATGGATCCAGTTGTGGGTCAGATGGCCGAGAGGGAAGCTGAGTGGACACCCATTGCTGAGGCCAGGCACGGCAGCTCCAGGGAGGGCCCTCGCACCAGGCCTGCTCGGTGCTGGCCCACACTTAGAGGTGTCACTGGACCCAAAGCTCCCTAGGCAGGCCTCCTAAGCCCTCGCCCAGCACCCAGGTGCTATTCTGTGGGGGAAGGGAGAGCTATAAAGACAGTTTCTATTTGGAGTGATGTAAAACTTGGGGAAGCGGATGGAAGATGGTTGCACAACATAAGAAAGTCAACAACACTGTATTGTACACTTAAAAATGGTTAAAATCCACATGGTGGTATTGAGGAAGAAGAAGACATAGAGAGGTACATAGGAGGTATAGATAACAGAGATGAATCCTTTTGCACATGAAGTACTGCATTGTCAGTGAAGACAAACATGGGTATACGGGTGAATAGATGGGTGGATCATCCACCCACCACCAACTGCCATTGAGTAGGATCCGACGACTCATAGCAACCCCTCCTTAGGTTTCTGAGGCGATATCACTATGGAAATAGATTGCCCAACTTTCCTTCCAAGGAGTGGCTGATGGGTTTGAACCACCAGCCTTCTGATTAGCAGTCAAATGTCTTAGGCGCTATGCCACCAGAGGCTGAACTATTAGGTATGTCAGTGCAGTGAGGAGTGTGCCCAAGACTATGTACAGGTTTGGTAGACAATGTTTCTACAACTATATTGGTATGTATTGTAAGAATTCCCAGGTATGATCTTAAAAGCTTGCAAGCTGCCATCTAGATGTAACAATAGGTCTCTCCTCGTCCAGAGCAAAGAAGAATGAAGAAAACCAAAGATTCATGGAAATGATTAGTCCTAGCGACTGGTACACCATCTGATCTGCAGCCTATACAACTATGAGACCAGAAGAACTAGGTGGTGCCCAGCTACCACTGTCAACCACTTGGAAGGGGATCTATGTAGGAGATCCTGGATCGAGAGGGAGAACAATGTGGAAAAAACTCAAAGTCATTTGGAGGGAAAAAAAAGTGGGGGGGACCAGGTTTGCTGGTCTGACAGAGCCTGGTGGAAGCACTGAGACTATGGCCCCTAGCTACCCTTCAGGTCTGGAATTGAACCCACACCTGTGACTTCCAGCCAAGTAAAAGACAGGCATGTGAGTTGAACATTTACCTGAGGTAGATACACTCCTTGGAGAGAACAATCATGGGAGAAAGAAGGGCTGTTTATGCACAGGGAGACAGCTCAGGGGGCAGGAGTGCATGGAGTGATGGACACAGAGAAGAGGTAACTATCAGGAGGAAGTGGGAGGGGAGCTATTGCATTGTGGGAAATTACAGTCAAAGTCATGAGACAAAGTGGATGTGAACTGCTGTATGGAAAGTGAATTTGCTCTGTACATTTTCACCCAAATCACAATAAAAAGAAAAAGATACTCTGTAAACTAAAAGAAAGAATTCCCAGGTATGTAGTAGAGCTGACAAGGGACAAGGTTGTAGTTAGTTCTTGGCCACAGCCAGCTACTCAGAGGGAGGGAATAGTCAGACCTGTGGGCTTAGGACCATAGTCGCAGGGGACATCAAGCTCAACTGGCGTAACATACTACACAAAACATTGTTCCATCTCCTACTTTAGCAAGTAGCAGCTGGGATCTTAAAAGCTTGCAAGTGGCCATCTAGATGCAACAATGGGTCTCTCCTTGTCCAGAGCAAAGAAGAATGAAGAAAACCAAAGATGCATGGAAATAATTAGTCCAAGTGACTGGTACACCATGCAATCTGCATCCTATCAACTAGGAGACCTGAAGAACTAGATGGTGCCCAGCTACCACTGTCAACCACTTGGAGGGAGATCTATGTAGGAGATCCTGGATAGAGTAGGAGAAGAATGTGGAACAAAACTCAAAATCATAAAAAAGGGATCAGGTTTTCTGGTCTCATAGAGCCTGGTAAAACCCCTGAGACTATGGCCCCTAGCTGCCCTTCAGGTCTGGAATTAAACTCACTCCTCAAGCATATGAGCTGCACATTTACATTAGGTAGATACACTCCTTGGAGAGATCAATCATGGGAGGATAGAAGGTCTGTGTATGCACAGGGAGACAGCTCAGGGGGCAGGAGTGCATGGGAGGGAAGGACACAGGGAAGAGGTAACTATGGGGAGGAAGTGGGAGGAGAGCTGTTGCATTGTGGGAAATTACAGTCAAAGTCATGAGACAAAGTGGATGTGAGCTGCTGTATGGAAAATGAATTTGCTCTGTAAACTTTCACCCAAATCACAATCACAATAAATAAAGTGGTTAAAATGCTGTGGGAGTTAAGGTTATGTGTCACCTTGGTTGGGCTTTGTTGAGTGGCTGGGCAGCTGGATGTAGTTATTCCCCATGGTGAGATCAGTCATCACTCCTTGGTGGAATCTTCTGGAGCAGCTGAGTAGCTTCCTTAGGGATATGGTCTGTTTCTAGTATATAAGGAGAAGTTTTGAGAAAGGTCCCTGAACTCTTTGGCATAATCGGACCCTGCATGTAGCTGTCTTCATTCAGCAGCCTGCCATATTTCCTGCCATCTTGGGACTGGCTCTCGACTTGAACTAATGACCTACCACGTTGTGTGGTAATATTGGGACTGTGCCATTTTATTTGTCAACCTTGGGCTTGTCAGCCTCAGCAGCCAGCAGCTGCCTGAGTGAAGACAGACCTCCAGCTTCAGTGGGCCGGGAGCAAAAGGCAGAGCTGAAGCCCAAGGTCGAGGGGCTTTCACCAGTCCCTAGAGCTTGGCACTTTACACTTGACTTCTAGCTTCCTAAGCTGTAAGAGAATAAACTCCTATTTGTTCAAGCATCCACCTGTGGTATATTCCCATCAAAGCGGCAAGAAGTCACAAAAACAAAGGGCCAGCTTTTGTTATATATTTTTGTAACCACAATGAATTCAAATGAAAAAAAAAAAAAAAAGTCTCCCAGCATGCCACAGTTAATAGCGTGTTCCCCTCCTTGCATGCGTATTGTGCGTCTGCCGGGGTCCCAGTGTGCCCTCTCAGTATTAATGGCTTTGTCTCGTTATAAGTCTTCCAGGAGACTTTAGTGGCTACATGACACCCGTCCATGGCATGAGATGTTATGTTTGACCCAAACCAGCTGCCATCCAGCCTGTTCCGACTCATGGTGATGTGTATAAACTGCTCCAAAGGGTTTTTCATAGCTGTGACCTTTGGAAGCCTATCACCAGGCCTGTCTTCAAGGGTCTCTGGGTGGGTTTGAACCGCCAACCCTTTCGTTAGCAGCTGAGCACTTAACCGTTGGTGCCGCCAGGGCTCCACGTAGGCTACCTGATTCCCCTCCGGTTGGATGTTGAGATGCTCCCATGGTGCTTATGCTTGGACAAGGCCTCTGCTCCGGACGACGCCCTGAGGTTCCCAGAAGTGAGGTCGCAGGATCCCAGGGAAACGCAGGGCTCCCAGAGCCCTTCTGGGAAGGCCGACGGCCTGCGCCTCCATCAGCCCCTCTCCTGCTGCACTGGCAATGCTCCCGTACTTTCTCTGTTTCTAAAACTCAGTTCCTTTTGGGGACAAAAAGCACGCCACATGCGGTGCTGCAAACCCGAACCCGCTCGGCATAGTTGGGAGATGCCAGCGCCCCCGCAGGTCACCCTCCCAGCGGGTTGGCACCCATGTTTCTGCTGGGCAGGCTCGTCTTCCCACCCCTCCCTTGTACTGTCTCACTGCAGTGAGTTTGTTTCTGTCTCTGCACCCACCTCACGGTCAAAAGTGCAAGAGAACCTGTGGGGCAGCTCCCTGGGACCCTCGAACCAGAGGACTCCTGTGTCCATGACCCTGTGGCCACTGCTAGCAGCACCACCCTGGCTCATGCACTTGCCTCCCTGCCATGTTTTCAGGCATCCAGCAAACAGCCTTCTCTCCTGTGCCCCCAGCCCCTGAGCCCCCTGAAGCGGGCGTTTATTCTGGAGGTCCTGTCCGGCTGCCTTGAGTACCGGAAGTTACTGAAAGTCGTGGTGGATGCCTTCTACGTGCGGGATGGGCGGATCTGCCTGTGGGTCGACTACACCCTCTTTGAGGGTCAGTACTTGCCCCCCCCCAGCTCCTGGCCTTTCCAGTGTCTTCTGCTTTTAGGGGGCCTACCAGGGCCCTCACCCACTTGGCCCTTGGGGTTGCCTCTGAGGGGGTGGGCAGGGAAGCAGTTGTTACACCAACTTTACAGGTCTGCAGACTGAGACCTCAGCCTGCTGAGGGTGAGGGCCACCTGGTGTCCCCGGGACGCACGTCCAGGCCCCAGGCAGATGGGCTTGGGCCCCAACTGACCTGTCCAGAGCCACCTCTGCCCTCTGAGCGAGGCACAGTGGGGGTTGAGGGAGAATGACCCAGACGGCCAGCTTGGGCAAAGTGGGCAGCCTTGAGTGGGCTTATAGATACAATGTGGCTTCCAGGGGGAATTAATCTGAGGTGCTGTCCCCGCTGGCCTTCTGTTGGCTTGTGATGGCCACTGCTTCATGGGGGTGGCCACCCATGGCAGGGCAGTCAGTCCTGCCGCTGGGGGAGGTCCTTCAGGCCTTGGGACACTGCCTTGGGAGGGGCAGGGGGCAGGGGCAGTTGCAGCGGTCCACAGTGGCCATCAGCACCCTTGGGCCCCACACCAGGTGACATAAGAACATTACTGGCTCCAAAAACCCTGGCCAAGCCCAGAGGCACTCAAGTTCCACCTGCCCTTGAGGTCCTTAAGCCTCTCCATGTTGATAAACTAGAATCCATAACAACCTCGCTTGTTACCCAGAAGTCCTCAAAATATCTGAGAACTTCCGGGATCTATGTGGTGGGCTTTGAGAGCCACACAGTGTTCTCCACAGCTCAGACGAACCCACTGACGCACGGCTGTCATTGTACCGGATGGTGTGCGGAGGCTTCACCCGACCGCCAGGCACACCGTGCCAGCATTGCTGTGCCAGCCCTGGGCCTCTGCTTGAACTCTGGCGGCCAGCTGGGAGACCCCGGTGCCCTCTGTGGGGTCGAGGGTCCCACGCGCCCATGCCACTCTGTCGTGTCTCTGCAGTGATCTGCTACCTGGCCACCTTCCAGCTGGAGGAACTCGGCTTCCAACTCTTCTGTAACATCGTCAAGTCCCAGCCCCCGGACAAGATGAGGACGGTGAGCGAGGCAGCCTCCCGCCTGTGGGGCTGGGGTAGGGGTTGGCCAGCTGGTGGGGGCGCTGAGCTTGGTTCCTGAGGCCTAAGGCAAAGCTGTGTTCGGCAGCAGATTTAAGGGAGGAAACCCAGGGGGATCATTTTGTGTTTCAAAGACACTAGCGTCCTCCCCTCACTGTGAACATGCTCTGTCCTAGGAAAGTGTGATTCCAGGTCCTTAGTGTCCAGGTGGGTGGTACCAGCTGATGGTTAGTTATAAGCCAAGTCAGGGAGCCCTTGCCTGTCTGTCATTACCTGGCCCTTCTGGCCTCTGAGACCTGGCAGGCCACGAGAAGAGAGCCCTCGTGAGCCGCCCACCTGCCTTGCCCATGTCACATCTGTGTCTGCCACTCACTGCTGTAGAGACCAGGGACTCAAACCAAAATTCACTGCCATGGAGTGGGATCCGACTCCTAGCGATCCCTCCTTGGGTTTCAAAGGTGGTATAACTACGGAAGTAGATTGCCCAACCTTCCTTCCGAGGAGTGGCTGCTGGGTTTGAACTGCCAGCCTTCTGGTTAGCGGTCAACTGCCTTGTTGTTGTTGTTGTGTGCCATGGAGTCAGACCCAATGCATAGTGACCCCCCTTGGGTTTCCAAGGCGCTATCACTACGGAAGTAAGATTGCCCAATCTTCCTTCCAAGGAGTGGCTGGTGGGTTTGAACCACCAGCCTTCTGGTTAGCAGTCAAGTGCCTTAGGCACTATGCCACCAGGGTTCCTTATCTAAGTATTAATCGTGTATAATTCCCAATGGATAAATACTGCTCTAGTTTTCTTAAGTAAGGGCTTCATTAAAAAAATAATAATAATAGAAGAAGAAGAAGCAAAACCAAAGACCTAGCTGAGAGATCTGTGAGACTGCCCTAGGGCTGGCCTCATGGCGTGTGAACTGGCATGTGCCAGGGCCACCCTCCCCGGGAGGGCTCCGGGCTCAGGAGGACCCTGTGTTCATAAGGACCTGTGTGTGGTTAGTGCTCTGCTGTCACCATCTTGAAACCCTGTGGAGCCTGCACTCTGAGGCTCTGGGCAGGAGGCCAGCCAGGGCCTTAAGGACAGGAACAAACTGTCCAGACCATCTGGCCACCCACTGTCACTGCTGTGGTCAAGAGTGACCCAACCAGCAGGATGTATTGGCTCACAGTGGCTCAGCTCAGGGCACAGGTAGATGAGTGGCCCTGGCTGGTCCCCCCAGGCCACCATTTGTGGCCTCACTGGAGGCAGTTTTCACTGGCCAATTCTATGAGAAGTAGATGGTCCCTTCCTTCTTCGGAGTCTTAGTCTGGAAGCAATTGTGTTCATGAGGAACCTGTATGTGGCTGTCATTCAAACAGAACAAAGGGATACTGCATGGTTTAAAATCAGGAAGGGAGTGCGTCAGTGTTGTATCCTTTCACCATATTTATTCAATCTGTATGCTGAGCAAATAATCGTTGGACTATATGAAGAAGAACATGGCATCAGGATTTGAGGAAGACTCATTAACAACCTGCATTATACACATGACACAATTTTGCTTGCTGAAAGTGAGGATGACTGGATGACTTGAAGCACTTACTGATGAAGATTAAAGACTATAGTTTGCAGTATGGATTACACTGTAAAGAAAACAAAAATCCTCACAACTGGACCGATAAGCAACATCATGATAAATGGAGAAAAGATTGAAGTTGTCAAAGATTTCATATTACTTGGTTCCACAATCAACACCTGTGGAAGCAAAAAAAAAAAAAAAAAACTTACTGCCATCAAGTCAAATCCAACTCATAGCAACCTCATTGGGTTTCTGAGGCTGTAAATCTTTGCAGAAGTAGGTCATCCATGGAAGCAGCAGTCAAGACATCAGACCACGTATTGCACTGGGCAACTCTGCTGCAAAAGACTCCTTTAAAGTGCTAAAGAGCAAAGATGTCTCTTTGAAGACTAAAGTGTGCCTAACCCAAGCCATGGTATTTTCAATCACCTCATATGCATGTGAAAGCTAGACAATGAATAAGGAAGATGGAAGAAGAGTTGAAGCTTTTGTTGGCAAAGGATACTGAAAGTACCATGGACTGCCCAAAGAGCTAACAGATCTGCCCTGGAAGAAGTGCAGCCAGAATGCTCCTTGGAAGCAAGAATGGCCAGACTTCGTCTCACCTACTTTGGTCATGTTGTCAGGCAGGACCATTCCCTGGAGAAGGATGTCATGCTTAGTAAAGTGTGGGGTCAACGATAAAGGGGAAGGCCCTCAATGAGATGGATTGGCACAGTGCCTGCAACGATGGGCTCAGGTATAGCAAGGATTGTGGGGCTGGCGCAGGGCTGGGCAGTGTTTTGTTCTGTTGTACTCGGGGTCGCTGTGAGTCGGAGCTGACTCGATGGCACCTAACAACAACAGGAGGCAGTTGCCTGCCACTCTGGGGCAAGTGGCCCTAGGGCAGCACGTGGAGGGCCAAGGACCCCTGCGTTCACATGCTGATGGAATCAGTATGATGGACAGAGGGCTTTTTTCAAACCCACGTCCACTCCAGCAGGTTCTCTGCTAGGTGAGAATTTATGGCCTCCTTCCTGAAAGCCCCATTTGCAGGAGTGAGCTCTGTGCCTGGGGAAGAACCAATCAATGGCTATGCCCAGATGGGGGTGGGCTAGAGACAGGGGAGCAGACTGCCCCCTTCAAGCAGGAGATGGAACCACAGGGGAAGACGGAAATGAGGTGGTGGGGAGCGGGGGAGAGGAGACGGGAGAACCAGGCCATGCGGCGTTGCATCCCTGCTGGGAGAGAGGGCCTGGCTCTACTGCAGCTGCTCCTGGGGCCTGTTCCTCCCACCAGTTCCCGACCCTCCCCTGCAGTGTGGCTGTGCCCCCAGCCAGTCTCCCTCCTGCCCTCACTCTGTCCCCTTGAGAAGACGGTCTGGGCCTATGGCTCCTGAGCCCCCCTGAAGACTCTCGCTTCCCCCTCAGTTCCTCAAGTTCTTCTTCAACCCCCTGCACCTGTGTTCCTGGATCAAGGACGAGTGGAGCCTGGTCTATGACACAGCCCATGTCAAGGAGAATTGGATCGACCCTCTGATGAGGTGGGTCTGGACAGCAGGGGGTTTCAAGGGTACCGGGCAGACAGAGCAGGGCAGGGGCCTGGGTGGCTGTGTGGGACAGAAGTTCCATGAGAGGTGGAGTGGGTGATTGTGGTCAGAGGGCTGAAGGCTCAGCAGACCCCCATGTCCCCAAATATCCTCCACATTGGCTGGCTGACCAGTTCAAGGAGCTTCCAGATTGGGGTGGTGAGCAGCCCCTGGGCTCTAGAGCCCACGCACTGAGCAGGGGCTGGGACAGTGCCCCTGGTCAGGAAGGGAGGCGGGCACTCCGGGCTGTGGCAGCCCCCAGCCCTGTGGGAACTCTGCCAGATTCCAGCCCTGCCCTGGTCTCCCTGCAGATCCCGTGGGGGGGGGGGGTTGGGTAAGGAAAGCTGCAGTTAGGGTCCCAGAGTTCAGGCACCACTCCCAAGCTTTTCCCCCTTCCTGGGGACAGACGGACTGACTGTTCTGGAGGAAGCAGACAATTTGCAGGAGCCCTGATGCCTGGGGGAGATGGGAGCCCCTCCTGTGGGGAGGGTGCTCTGGTCCCCAAGGAGGCTGAGTGTTCCCTGCAGCAGCCCATTTCCCCGGAGGGCCACACCTCAGCCCCCCTGCCACTACCAGCATTGAGGAAGCCTCCAAGGAGGCAGTCGCAGACTCAGGATTGGCTGCTCGTGGCCGGGCGCAGGGGCCTGGGTCTGCAGCATCCCCCCCCCCACCTCCAGACAGGCTTCCCTGCCGTCTCTGGGACCCAGCCCATCACACACCTCCCACTCCTCCCCAACCCGGCCAGACCCTTGAATGGCAACCTCAACAAATACCAGGCTCCCTGTGGCCCCTACAGAAGCCCATCCTCCTCCTGCGTGGCTGTGGTTCTCCCAGGGGGACCAGGGGAGTGACCCCCAGCAAGGCTGCTGCAAGGCCCGGGAGGGGGGGGCCCCAACCTTGGGGTGGCCCACCGAGCCCCTTCCCAAAGCCCTGATTTCAGTGCTCTCTGAAGCTTTACCTGGAGAGAGCTGGGCCCCCGGGAAGTGCAGGGTCTGGGCTCCAGACCGCTTACCCTGCCCCTGCCAGCAGCTTCAGTCCCACTTGCCCCACAGAGCAGCTCCAGAACCTTCCTTTGGAATGTTAGCTCCTCCCACTCTGGCTCCCCCCCCCGCCCCGTGCCATCTGCTCTGCCCAGATGAGCTCCTCCTCAGGTGCGCCATCCCTGCAGCGGCACCTGCCCTGCCCCCCCAGCCCCCACTCATCCGCGTGGCCTGGAAAAATAATGCCTCTGAACCCAGTTTCCTCATCTGAAAGAAGGGCGTGCTGATGTGTGCGTCACAGGGGCGGGGCTGGCACCAGGCCTGTGGACTGGTGGGTCCCAGGAAAGGGAGGCTGTTGGTCCCTGAGGCAGACCCCAAGCGCTGGGGGCCCACTGGGTCCCGAGGGCCTGGCCCCCTGTTCACCTGCTCAGGCACCCATTCTGAGCAGCTTCTCCCATTCTGGGCTCCAAGGTGGCAGCCGGAAGTCCACGAGCTGATCAGCGAGCTGGAGGCTGTGTTGGCCAACCGGGTCCACCTTGTGAAGACCAAGGCCAAGGTCACAGAGCCCAAGGAGTTCAAGCTGACTGCCCCCAGGCCCCGTGCCATCCCGGTGCCCGAGCCGGTACCCGTCGTGGCCAAGCCTAGGCCAGTAAGTGCAGGCGTCTGCATGTGTGTGGGCTCGCTGCCACCAGGTCCTGGCAGGGAGAATGGACCCCGTGGGCAAATGGGACTCTAGGCTCCTGCCAGGGCTGGGGGGGTGGACCTGGAGCCTATCCTGTGGGCACTCACCCTCCATCACCACACACTGAAGCTGCCAGGCCACAGGGCTCAGACCTGTCTGGAATTGGAGCTTGGAGCCCACCTTCAACTCTGTGACAATGTACTGTCCCCTCACCCCCATTAAATACTAAACAGGGATCACCAGTAGACTCTTCGTGCTGTGGGCAGACAAGAGTCCCTGGTGTGTGAGCCCCAGTCACACCGTCCTGTCCCCCCCTCAGGCCCTTTGCACCCCAAGTGCCCTCTACCCAGAGCCTCTCCCTCTGTCATGGCCTCACCAGTTTCTTCTATCAGCCAGGATGCCTTGTGTTGCAAGTAAGGAAAAAGTGCAGTTCCAACTGGCTTAAACAATAGAGAACTTCCTGGCTATCATGACTGAAGGAGAATAGGCTTCTGGCATAGTTTGATCAGGGCTCAGCTCTGCTTCTTGGTTATTGTCTCCACTTTATACTCTGTGGGTCTGCTTCATCTTTGGGATAACTTCCCTCCTTGCAGCAAAAGGTCCAGACCTCACACACACATTCTGCACTGTCAGGAGTGTGAGAGGATATCTAGGAACTTCTTTGGAAAAGTCTGATTGGGTCTGCTTAGTTCACATGTCTGCCTTTGAACCAGTCACCATGACCATGGGTGCAATGTCCTGACAGGTTATGGACTCTATACTGAGAGCTCAGAGTGGACTCAGTTTCCCAGAACCAGCCTGCTTGCCGACAGGACTGAGTATACTGTAGGCGGCTAAGGGGATGGCACTGGGGGTCCTGGAGCCCGCCCCACTCCCACTAGCCTTTATGACTCAGAATCGTTCTTTCCAGAAGGCTTTCCATGAACCTAGGAGCTCTGGTGGTGTAGTGCCTAAGGCACTTGACTGCTAACCAGAAGGCTGGCAGTTAAAACCTACTAGCCACTCCTGGGAAGGAAGATTGGGCAATCTACTTCCGTAGTGATACTGCCTTGGAAACCCAAGGAGGGGTCGCTATGAGTCGGATCCGACTTGACGGCAGTGGGTTTGGTTTCAGTTTTGGTCTCCATGAACCTTCAACTGAATCAGTTTGCTTCCTTCTCATCAACCTAGCCCCTTTCCCTCACAACATCTGAGTTTGCAGTGGTTTGCTTCTGCCATTCATCTGTCCGTGTGTCCCACTGTGGTGGCTTGCGTGTTGCTGTGGTACTGGAAGCTATGCCACTGGTATTTCAGACACCAGCAGGGCCACCCGTGGTGGAGAGGTTGCTTTTGAGAGCTTCATTTACTGATGTGGCATGACTCACAATGAGAAGAAAAAGTGGTGAATGTCCATTAATAATTGGAACATGGAATATAAAAAATATGGGTCTAGAAAAATGGGAAATTGTAAAAAATGAAATAGAATACATAAAGATCGATAGCCTAGGCATCAGTGAGCTGAAACGGACTGGTGTTGGCCCTTTTGCATCAGACAGTCATGTATGTGGTCTGCTATGCCAGGAACCACAAATTAAAGAGGAATGGCATTACATTCATCCTCGAAAAGAACATTTCAACATCTACCCTGAAGTAGCATAGCGCCTAAGGCACTTGACTGCTAACCAGAAGGCTGGCGGTTCAAACCCACCAGCCACTCCTCAGAAGGAAGGTTGGGCAATCTACTTCCACAGTGATATCACCTCGGAAACCCAAGGAGGGGTCTCTGTGAGTCATCTGACTCCACGGCACATAACAACAACAACCCTGAAGTACAGGATTATCAGTGATAGGATAATATCCTACAAGGAAGACCAGTTAATACAGCTGTTGTTCAATGTTAACATCAACCGCTAAAGCCAAAGATGAAGAAATTGAAGATTTTTATGGATTTCTGCAGTCTGAAATTGATAAAACATGCAACCAAGATGTATTGATGATTACTGGTGAATGGAATATGAAAACTGGAAATGGAGGAACATAGGAAGTTGGAAAATACAGTGATAGAAACAACAGCGAAGATGGCATGATGGAATTTTGGAAGACCAGTGACTTATTTATTGGAAATACCTTTTTCAACAATATAAACAGCAGCTATGCATATGGGCCTCACCAGACGGGATATGCAGGAATCAAATCCACTACATCTGTGGAAAGAGGCGATGGAGAAGCTCAATATCATCAGTCAGAAAAGGGCCGGCACTCACTGAAACAGACCATCAATTGCTCCTATGCAAGTTCAAGCTGAAGCTGAAGGAAATTAAATCCATGAGAACCAAAATGTGACCTTGATTATATCCCACCTGAATAGATTTGATGCATGGAACAGCAATGGCTAAAGACCAGACAAGTTGTAGGATGACATTATGGACATCATCCATGAAGAAAGCAAAAAGTCATTAAAAAGACAAGGAAGAAAGAAAATAACAAATGGATGTCAGAAGAGACTCTGGAACTTGCTATTGAATGTAGAGTAACTAAAGCCAACACAAGTAATAATAAAGTTAAAGACCTGAACAGAAGATTCAATGGATGGCTTGAGGAGACAAAGTGAAGGATTACCGTGAAATGGGCAAAGACATGGGATTAGAAAACCAAAAGAGAAGAACACATTCAGCATTTCTCAAGCTGAAAGAATTGAAGAAAAATTCAAGGCTCAAGTCGCAATATTGAAGGAGCCTATCCTCGGAAGGAAGGTTGGGCAATCCTACTTCCGTAGTGATACTGCCTCGGAAACCCAAGGAGGGGTCGCTATGAGTCGGGGCCGACTTGACGGCACATAACAACAACAACAACAACATGGGTAAAATATTGAACAACACAGGAAACATCAAAGGAAGATGTGAGGGATACATAGAGCCATTATACCAAAAATGATTGATCAACATTCAGCCATTTCAGGAGGTGGCACGTGATCCAGAATGAATGACATTGATGGAAGAAGTTCAAGTTGCACTGACGGCATTGGTGAAAAACAAGGCTCAAGGAATCGACGGAACACCCATTGAGATGTCTCAACAAATGGGTGCACCACTGGAACACTTGCTCTTCTATGCCAAGAAATTGGGAAGACAGCTACCTGGCCAACTGACTGGAGGAGATTCAGATTTGAGCCCATTCCAGAGAAAGGTGATCCAATGAAATGTGGAAACTATCAAACAATATCATTAATATCACACCCAAGTAAAACTTTACTTGGGTGTGATATTAAACTAATTTTTAAATGGTTGGAACAGCACATAGACAGGGAACTGCCAGAAATTCAAACTGGATTCAGAAGAGGACATGGAATGAGGGCTATTATTGCTGATGTCAGATGGATCTTGTTTGAAAGCAAAGAGTACCAAGAAGATGTTTACCTGTGTTTTATTGACTAGGCAAAGGCATTGAGTGTGTGGAGCATAACAAATTATGAACAACATTGCTAAGAATGGGAATTGGTTTTGGTTACCTAGTGCCGCTCTGACAAGAATATACCACAAATGGGATGCTTGAACAAACAGGAGTTTATTCTCTTACAGTTTGAAGGCTTTAAGTCCGAGTTCAAAGTGCCAGGCTCTAGGGGCTGGGTGAAAGCCCCTCAACCTTTGGCTTCAGCTGTGCCTCTACTCCTGGCCCCACTGGAGCTAGAGGGTTTTCTTCACTCAGCTACTGGCTGCTGAGATTGACAAGCCCAAGGTTGACAAGTAAAAAGGCACAGTCCCCATGTTAACCAAACTACATAGCAGGCAAATCACTCAAGTCCATTGGAAGTCCCAAGGTCAGCAGAGCACGGCAGGCTGCTGAACAACAACATGGCTACATGCAGGGTTCAAGCATGCCATAAGCCAGAGACCATTCCCCAAGGCTTCTCTTTATATACAGGAAGCAGACCGCATCCCTAAGGCAGCTCCTCAGCTGCTCACAGTAGATTCCACCATGGAGTTGATGACCAGTCTCATCATGGGGAATACTACACCCACCTGCCCAGCCACTCAGCCAGGCCCAGTCGAGTTGACACACAGACTAAACCACCACAGAATTCCAGAACATTTCATGGTACTCATGGGAAACCTGTACATAGACCAAGAGGCAGTCTTTCGAATGAAACAAGGGGACACTGCATGGTTTAAAATCAGCAAAGGCGTGTGTCAGGGTTGCATCCTTTCACCACACTTATTCAATCTGTGTGCTGAGCAAAGAATCCAAGAAGCTGGACTGTATGAAGGACATGACATTAGAATTGGAGGAAAACTCATTAACAACCTGCAATATGCAGATGACACCACGTTGCTTACTGAAAGTGAAGATGACTCGAAGCACTTACTGATGAAGATCAAAGACTACAGCCTTCAGTATGGATTACACCTCAGCATAAAGAAAACAAAAATCCTTACAACTGTACTAATAAGTGACATTATGATAAATGGAGAGAAGATTGAAGTTGGCAAAGATTTCATTTTACTTGGATCCATGATCAATGTCCATGAAAGCAGCAGTGAGGAAATCAGGTGACATATTGCACTGGGCAAACCCGCTGCAGAAGACCTCCTTAAAGTGTTGAAGAGTGAAAATACCACTTTGAAGCCTAAGGTGACCCTGACCCAGGACATGGTATTTTCAGTAGCCTCACGTGCATGCGAAAGCTGGACAATGAATACAGAAGACAGAAGAAGAATTGATGCATTTCAATTATGATATTGGTGAAGAATATTGAATTTACATGGACTGCCAAAAGAACATGCAAATCTGTCTTGGAAGAAGGTCAGCCAGGTTATTCCTTAGAAGCTAGGATAGCGTGACTTTGTCTTTCATACTTTGGTCATGTTTTCACAAGGGACCAGTTCCTGGAGAAAGACCCCATGTTTGTTAAAGTGGAGGCCCGTGAGAAAGAGGAAGACCCTCAGTGAGATGGAGAGATACAGTGACTACAACGACGGGCTCAGGTACAG